ATTAAGAATTAAAAACAAAATAAGATATGCAATATTTTAGTCTGTCGTGCTGTAGAAGACTTTCTTCTTAGCATTTCATAGTTTGAAAGCAAAAAGGAAAAAAAAAGAAACAAGTGAGAACAGTATAGTCGGTCAAGGCCGACCATTAAATACCCTACATAACCCTGTCTAACAAAGTTTTCATACCAACGTAGAATGCCGAAATATTACTACATAACCACTTTTGACGAGAAATTTTGAAAATTTAAATTTTTTTCCATATAACGACTTTTCGAAATAGGGCGATATATGGAAGGCAGTCGAAAAAGTGGACCGATCTGCACCGTTTTCGGTACCATTAGTCCTTGGGTCAAAACACGTCACTGCACTAAATTTCATCAAAACGTCTCAAAAACTGCCATCTGTAGGTGAAAAATAAATATACACGGACAAATATGAGACGGACAGACGGATAGACAGGCTTATATCAATTCAGATTATGATTCCGAATCGATCGGTATAATAAACGGTGGGTCTACCTTAAGCCCTTCGGCGTGTTACATACGTCCGCAATAACTTAATATACCCCGCACCATAAATGGTGTATATATTGCGGCACCAAGCAAACCAATTCTCGTTTTATTGCCAAAAGGAAGACAAACTACGCTAACAAATGATTTTTCAGAAAATTCGATGGAGAATAGAAAGTAATACGTTTTTATTGCATTTCTTATAAATGTTTTGCTTTAGTTATGCCAAAAAAAAAAGAAGAAAAAAAAAGTGATATATAATATTGATGACACCCTCACAGCGTAACAAATCGAAAACCTCACAAGTGTCCTTACAAATGTTTTATTCGTAGCTTTTCTACTTTTTTCATTGCAATCATTTTAAAGACGACGGAACATAGCTGCGACTAATAACAATAATAACACCCATTGAAATTCGGAGATGGGACATCATTCTACATTTAAACCCGATATTAAGGTACCATATGAAATGCAAGTAGTGTACATAATTTACGGGAAATGTTTAAGGTGAGATGTCGTTCGAGTGAGAGTATTTTTCTTTGAGTCAAACTCCAACTTTGTAAGGTTATGCATTAGGCATTGTTCCACGTTCAAGGACATTTGTACGTTGTCGAGTAAGAACACTTCGCTTTACCTGATATGAAAAATACCATTTATTAACTCTCTAATGATAAGTAAAGGGAATAATATCTAAGGCGAGATATTGTTCCCCATTCAATGACGTTGCTTCCTAACGCATGAGAAAGGTGGTGAACAACCGCTTCCTTGCGGTGTTGTTAGTGTGGAAGAAGAATCGACAATTCTTGATGTTCTGGGCATGAGAATACAAAAAGATGTTCTTTGGACAGAGCGTGTGTTTGAAATATCAAAAGACGCAGCCAAGGACTTAGAGTTTTTGAAAGCCCAGATGCTCGCGGGCAGCGAAAATGGCTGCAAAACTCTCGATATCATTGAGTGCTGGTATTATGAGGACTACTTCGTGCTTATGCACAAGCATATTTACGACAAGTCTTTCGCAGAGGTAAAAGAGATTTGTCTTGTAACGGAACTACGCGGCTTTCTGAGCGTTCTCATCCACTCGTCGTGGAGCTGCTTGTACACAATGCAACACACTAACGCGATTCGTTTCGTTGTTTTTCAACCTTACAGCCCGTCTTCGAAGCCAGCTACCAGCAATGGTCTTTCCTGCCGTACCTGCTGACTCCATTTTTAAGTCGAACATTCGAAAACACTACTCCCTTTCTCGTCACCCTTCCTTAAACAACCTTAACCGCACACATATATGGAATATCCCTTGAGTGGTTGATCATGGAAAGACATTGGGAAAGGATCAACTGGTATATCGCTGTGTTCCGGTGTTTAAATTAGGTATAGGAAATTCGTCTTTCTTAAACCGTACTGCCTGCCTGCCCGCCTTTGCAAAAATCTACCATCAGTTGCCTTCCCCACCATACCTGATGTTTCCAGCTTCAAGTCGATCGTTCACAAACATTGCTCCCTTTCCTCGCCACTTTCTTTCTATAATCCGTTTTGAAGGGAACCGAGACCGCATGCACAAAGAAAAATAAATTTTTTTTTTTTTGTTCTTAAAGTTGCGTAAGTTTTTTTGGTTTTAGTTACGTCATGTTTAGAACGCATGTAAAAAATGAACTCAATTTATTATTTCAAATAATTAAATTTCTAGTAAAAGTTTTCTAAGCAGTTTTATCATTAATTATAAACAAACTTTCGATAATAAAAATAAATAATAAACAAGACAGGACAAGACATTATAATAGATAACAACACAACATCGATAAATGTGTATGTAACAGCAATAGACTGGCAACACAATGAATTTGAGGAGGGAGGTTATCAAGAGAATTTTCCATTTTTCAAACATTACTTTGCGTCGTATCCAACTGTGTGCTCTAAATAGAAAACATCGTCTATTGAACGGCATCGGTAAATATGTTTCCGCTACACAAACTTTGACGGCTATAGACGAAAAACTTTGTATTGATATATTTCAAGGTTGCGTTGTTTCTCCTCGAAATGCAGATATATTTTAATTAAAACTAACTATTGCTTCAATAGTGCCATATGGACAAATGACAGCTAGTAGGCGCCCATCATCACCAACGGGAAGTAGAATATCTCTATGGTATTAAAAAAAAAAAACAAAAAAAAAAACCAGAAGGAATATAATTGTATTTTTCTTCTTAATTGCTTTGCAAAGAGGCTACGCTCTCGGAGGAAAAAGTAGAATAAAAATTATAATAAAGTGCTTATAGGAAAAGTTATATAAAACAAAGGCTCCTTTGTCTTCAAAGTATGAAAGTAAAATTGAATGTTTCTTTTCTTTTCTTTTCCCTTTCTTATAATTATAATTTTTATTGTAATTAATTAGAAGGAAATTTTTTTTTTATTCTCACTTATACCTTCAGGGAATTTATTAACGCGTTCACTACTCACTTCAAGGTGCAGAGACGATTTCTTTTAAAATATTTTACGCACCCCTGTCTTCATGACAGCGGCAGTGGCAACCCGAGTTGAGCGGACACTAAACGAATGTTCAGGCAAATACTTCGATTTCGATCTAGTAACTTTTGGTGGTACGGTCAAGAGCTTGACGGTTTGAAACTGAAAGATTTTACCCTAAATTTAAAGTGGGGTCATGGAAAGTGAATTTCAAAAAAATATATGAACGAAAGAGGACATGTGCTCTCTGAGTCTCTGAGTTGGTGAATATTTTCGTCCACTTTGTTTTCACTGAGCTAAGAATGAACTCATGACATTTACCAGAGCAGACTTGTCTGTTATTACTTATAATAGGCGATTACCGTAACAATGATTTTCTTACTCTCTCTGAACTCTCGATAGGTACTAGAAAACTACAAAAAGTTTTTTCAATCAATGCTCCAGTTTTTATCCCTTACGAGACCACTTTTGAGAATCTAGAACTTCTAATGAAAAAATCTTGTAATAATCAATCGATTAATGATTTGGTTTATTGTACCCATCATTAAATGAACTAAGTTTAATATTCCGTCCTGAAAATCGAAAAAAACTTATTGGAGACCGCATAACAGCCTCGTGCCTATTTCTGGCATGAAGCAGGTCCCGAAGAAACGGAAGAGTGCGTGACCCTCAATCTGAACCTTCTCTCCTCCTTCTCTTTCTCCTCTTATTTTTTTGCTTCTCTTTTTTCTCGTCCGCGAAATCTTGCTCAACGATCAAAGCTGGTCAAGAATAATCGGGATGGGACAATGTGACCATTGTGGAATGTGAACCGTTGAAGAATAGTATCTGGGTGCAACAGTGGGAGCACTCTTTGAACATGATTATCTCTCTTATAATCTTTCCGGTAATAAATGGTTTTTGTTCCCATAAATATATATATATAAATTTTCTGTGCTCAACGTGGACTGCTGCGTAACCCTGTCTATGGGACTATTTCTCAAATAAGGGTTTTCACGATAAGCAAATACTATAGTCGAAATGTGGCCCACCATTGAATCCCTAGGCCACTTCGTTGAATGCAGTTGGGCTTATAAGGAGATTAGTCGAAGAAGTGGTGCGATCTAAATGATTTTCAATAGCGTTCGTCGTTGGGTGCAGGCGTATCAAATTTCGTCAAAATATCTTAAAATTTGGAGACAATAAATTGACAATAAGAGAATGAGATTAGCGGACGGGCAGACAGACAGACAAGCTTAGATCGATCAAAAAGTGTTTCTGAATCGATCGGTACAATAAAAGATGGGTGTACCTCAAGTTCATCTGGGTGTTGTATCCGCACAAATTTAATAAATTCTTGCACCACAACCGGTCTGGGGTATAATAATAAATCCTTTGACAAGTATATTAACTATAGCTACATTCAAACTAGAGGAAGTGGAAGTCTTTCACATATGGAAGCAGAATATTATTTTATGATATTTGACTGCGAAAACATTTGAAGGATTGGCTTAGGCGGGCGGAAATTTTGTTACTTATTTCATAACATTTTCGTAGTGAAAAGTGTGACGTTTTATGTGCACCCTTGGCTTATATGTATATTTGTTGCAACTGAAAAGAGATTATGAAAACGATTTGAGTTCATCATCGAACTAAAGTTTTTTGCAATGCTAAAGCATTGACTTGAGTTCGCATTGGAAGTGGTAAGGATTCATCCAGGTCGGTGGAATACAAGTTTCTTTGTTGTTTTCATTCGCTTCGTCGTTTATTGCTTGCAATAGTTATGCAAAAAGTTAGTTGCAATAAATTGTTGTTATAAATTGTAATTAAACGTTTAAGTCTTCTTCTTTTATTATTTTACATAAACATATAATATACATATGTGTATGTGTAAAAAACTTTTTTATAGGAACAAATACATATTGTTTTTCTTTCATCTTGAAAGTGTTTTGTAAAAAGGTTTATTTCAATTAAAATTAATTGTTCCCTTCTTTTCTTTTCTTTTTCTCTTCCCGTTTTCTCTTTTTTCTTTTTTATTTCGTTTCTTTACAGCCGAGTCACCTTGCCATTAACTGTGGAAGAGGTTAGTTACAAATGGATTGCCATTGCCATAGTTGTTCGCTTAACTTTTTTTGTTTATTGTGTGTTGCTTTTCATTATCCAAAACAAATAAACACCAACATCTGCCCGCACATGGGTTCAAGAGAAGAGAGAAAGAGAAAATAAATTCCACATAAGCTAACACATGAAATCCTTTCTCTTTGCTGTCGCCTCTGCTGCTGCTGCTGCTACTGCCCCTCCTCCTCCTCTCCCATCCTTTAAAATCCCTTTCCCGTTTTTAGCGTGAGCGTAAGCGACACCACCGCAAGTATTGTGTAATGAATACCCATATAAACAAAATCCTTAACTATTTTTAATTTTTTTTTTTTTTTTTTTTTTGTTCTTTTACGTTGGAAATTAAGTTACAAAGAAAATATGTGTTGAAGGGGGAAAAAAATAATTCATTAATCTCACTGATTTGCGGATTCTTTCTATTTTCATTTAATTTAAAAAAAAAAAAAAAACTTTTTGATTTTTGCTTTTGTTTTTTTCTATTCTTTCTATTGTTTTAGTATCAAGTTGCACAATTGTATTCAGTGGCGGAAGCTTCAAAGAACGAGACCGGCGGTGGGGAAGGCATTGAAGTATTAAAAAATGAACCTTTCACTAACCATCCGTTATTGGGTAAATATTTTTGTGATAAGATTAAGGTTTTTAATTGAATGAATTAAATGTGTGTTGTTGTTGTTGTTTTTGTTTTTCCTCTTCTTATCTGTTTTTGCGTTTTTACTCGTCTTACAGGTGGAAAATATAGTTCTGGTCAATATACATACAAAATATATCATTTGGCTTCAAAAGTTCCAGCATTTATAAGACTGTTGGCACCGCGAGGCTCACTGGAGATACACGAAGAAGCCTGGAACGCTTATCCATATTGTAAAACAGTAATTACGGTATGTATGCAAGGGAAGATCCTTTCTCAAAAGTCTATTCGCCGTAATTTCATTGCTTTAACGTTTAAATACACGATCTGCAGTACAACGTACTATTCGTTTGTAAGTGAAGAGTTTAATCCGTTCTTTAAACATCCGCTAAACCATTTGTAATCATCTTTCTTATTGTGACCTAAAGACATGGTTCATTTAAATAAGTCTAAGCGGCGGTTAGATGACTAGACCTTAATGCCTACAGCGTATCCCTATGATATGAATTTCTGGATGAAATCAGATGAATATATATATATATATATATATATATAAATTCATTCCGTTGTATATAGGTAACTTGGACATTGATGATAGTACTGCATAGATTTTAGCTAATTACAAGTGAAGGTCATGGATGATTGTGTTGGGTAAACCAATTCTTTACTGCGCTTGGGTTTGTCGTACAGTATCCATCTCGCATCGCCGGATATATTTCGGTGAGAATAGTCCTTGTTTTTATAGCGATTTAATAAATGTAAGCAGGCGTTAAGTATTTGATGTTTATTCTCGTCGATTAGTGTTCTTGAGGAATCCATTTTCCTTCTTATATACTAACGAGCTGAGGTGGCTTGCTCTCTGCAAATACTTTTTGTGTTTTTGCTGCAGTTTCGTGTATTGAATTTTGTTGAATTTGATCCAACAACTCTCACAAAGCTGCAGAATGTTCAACATTCTCGAAGCGAAAACCTTTGCACCGCATTCCGTTAATCACTTTTTAATTTTTTCATAACATAACGCATTTTTACCCCAAGCTAACTTAATCGTATCCATAATGTGAGCTGCAATTTTTTTCTAGCTTAGAGAACAATAACGCGGAAGATTCTATATGCGACATGGTGACATCCATCCATGTACTATAAGCATCAATGTCCACGTTACCTACACACAACATTTCGATCAAATTCTGTGAAAACAAGTTATTAATAAACCTTTCATATATATATTCGTAGCGTTTTTCAAACCAAATATGAAGACCATTTTACTTTTTATTTTAAATCGACTTTATTAAACCAAATATGCGCCATTTGGAATGACTCATTACTCCCATCTTGCTGGCAAAACCGTACATGTAATAGAGTTAAGGACGCAGGTTCGAAACCCAGTTGCATAGCATATTACTTTTAAATCACGTAATATCAATAAATGCCAACCCTTGTTGGTTGAGATCGTACGAATTGACAACAGAGTTGCTCAAAAATATCTTCAAAAAATATTTTCCTTCAATAAATCGATCGTATTTGCAGTATCTATCAGTTGTCGGCCTATATAACCGTAAAATGTAATCATTTTTGTTTCTTAGAATCTTAGAACTGGTGATAAAATTATTCAAAACGACTTTCTATATATATATTTGTTTTCGTGGACTTTTACAATCGCTATTAATCGTGTTATATTACGCTTTGTTGTTAAAAAGTTTCCCTTTTTGTTTATAGAATCCAGGGTTTATGAAAGAACGTTTTTTAGTACAAATAGACTCTTTGCATACGGCCGATTACGGCGATTTTAATAATGTAAGTTTATAATGGAAACAATTTTAAACTAATGGATTTTTTTGTTCTGTATTTTTGTTTTCTCTTTCTCTCTTTTTCTATATATTATTATTTACTAATTATAATAATACGCTGTGCTATAAATCAACTCTCTATGGTGTCGGCTATATATTCTGTGTTATAACTCTTTTCAATAAAAATAAACTAATAATAAATGTATATTTATAATGGTAATACGGTAATGATTGTGATGGTTGGTTGGTTGGTTGGTTGGTTGGATTGATGGATGGATGGATGGATGGATGGATGGATGATGTGATGACTAATGTTTATATATTATTTATGTTGAATATATTAAATAACATTGTGTTCAATATGCACTCCATACCTTTTGCTATATATATATGTGTGTGATGCTGCCTTCTATGTAAATGGAATTTAATCGTGATTTATTTGAACAGAATCCTGGTTACATGAGAGATAATTTTATTATAATAATTGAATCACTTCATCTTGCCGATGTTGGTGATCAAGAAAATGTGAGCTTTTTCTTATTGTTGTATTGTTACATTTTTCTTTATTAATTATATTATTTATAAAAATAAAAATTGCGGTATGCTCTTTTTTTATATCCTACATCACTTGTAGTACAGGCTTTATTAAGTTTATAGGGGCGTATGTAACACGTAGTAGGACTTAAGGTAGAACCACCTTTTATATATACATATATCTATTATATAATCGATCTAAGCCTGTCTGTCCATCTGTCTACATAAAATTTTATCAAGCTACAGGTTGCGAGTTTTGCGATATTTTGATGAAATTTGGTGCACTGACGTGTTTTGATCTAAGGACGAACATTATTGACAACGGCCTGGATCGGTCCACTTCTTCGACCGCTTGCCATAATAAGCCCGAAATGTCGTTATATGGAAAAAATTGAAATTTTCAAGGTTTCTTAACAGACGTGGCTATGTAATAGTATTTCGGCATTACACAAATTGTTGAGGAATCTTTGGACCGGTTGTGGCAATTTTTGAAATCCCTTTTCACAAAACGAAAACTGAAGTTCATATGACAAAAATGTGTAATATTCATGTTGAGAAACAGATCGTAATAGTAATTTCATATAAAAAAAATTAACCGTACCAAATTTGGACATCTCTGCTTATTTTTTGTATTCTATCCTATAAAGGGATTTCCATGAAAATGGACCCTTAATACGGCGAAAAAGTGTAAATTTTGGGTATGTTATGATGAAAATCAACTCATCCACATTCCTATGTCAGCACTTTCATGAAAATTTTTCTTTTTCAGGGCAGAAGAGTTTAAATATTTGATGATAAAAATTGATCCGTAATAGTAATTTGATATAAAAATTAACTGAACTAAATTTTGAACACTT